GTGAGTCTGCCCACTCGCCTGCTCCTCAACGTCGCCACCCTGCTGGTAACTGCCTCAAAGGTCATTTATTATTGCAGCCCGTGTAACAATCCTCAGCAAATGGCAGGTCTGCGTATGACTCTCTGGAGTAAGAGTGCCATCCTACAAATAAGGAAAGAAGAAATAAATAAATCTGCAAATATTCAAAAATGCGCCGTAAGCTCGGGGGTCCTGGTCAGTATGTATTTGTGTGAAATACTGCCATCCCGTCCTGGATGTACCCCTTGTGCCCTGTGCTGTCTGGGATGCCCCCCCCCCCAACCTCAATAACCTCAACCCCAGATAAGTGGCCAGAAGATAGATGGACCTGTGCAGGGATGTGTGTGAAATCTGGAGCGTGAATGTGCTGGCTTTGCCTGGAGTATATAGTGTCCTGTGTCAGTAGCCACGGCGCCTGACCGGGTTCAGTTGAGCTGGACCATGGGCTTACACTAGCACTGGGCCTCATTCTGTCTGCAGGCGAGGGCTTTGTGTCTGTTCCTGTCCCTGTCTGCCAAACTAACTCCTGTCCGGGAGGCGCTAAGCTGTCCGAAGGAGCGTCCTGGCACCTGGCATGTCGGGGGGATCAGAGCAGACAGCAGCCTCACCCCCCAGCCCCCCCTCCAGCAGGCCTGGCACGAGTCTGTCTCGGGACTGGAGGCTGTTAAATGGGGTTTAAAATCAAGTACGACGGCGAGAAACGGAGAGCAGGAGCCCCCATCCCTGCCATTAACCCCCCAGGCCTTGGCGGCGACATCACGCAGTAGCCCCTGCGTCACGCTGAAAACAAGCCCTCCGTCCCATAATTGATATGAATGCCAGTCGTCGGGGGGACGCGCCTGCAGACGGGGGTCTGTCAAGCGGGGGTCTGTCAAGCGGTTAGGGACCTCGGGGAGATACGGAGTGCAAAGCCGCTTTCTCTCTCTTGCGCACGCCAGGCCGCGGTGGATTAGCCGTGACGCTGAGGTTGAGGCAGTGTGCTGTCTGGGCTCGATCGATCCGACTGAGTCCTTCTGTGGATTATATGCCCCGAGTGTCAGAGCCTGCCAACCTCCACACCTGACACAAAGCACATGGATTTGACTGTAGCTCTCGAGAACAACAAAGAAACTAAACTTTATTTGCACTGGAGTGCTTTTTTTGTCTCATGATATGTGACATACACACAAATAGGTATAGGTAAGACAGAAGGTTGGAATCTGAGTTTTGGACGTTTATCTGGCATCCCTAGGACATCTTTACTTGTGACAACGATTTGTCCAACGATGGGATATGAACTAGCAACCTTCCGATCACAAGCACCGACGCCTACTGAGCCAAACATCGCCTTCCCCTTGGGATTTTGTTTCTTAAATAAAAAAAAAAGAAAATAAAAATGTCTTTGGTGGTAAGAAACAGTTCATGGGGGGGCATGAATGTGTACACAGATTTTTAGGCCCTAAAACACGATTTTCTCTCCTGGCGTGCAGTATTTTTTTTACCTGACTGCCTCGTTAGGCGTTTAAGCCCTGAGAGTCATTAGTGGAAAGGTGTGGAAAGAGTGAAAAAGTAGCAATTTTTTCCATAGATATATTTTTCTCAGCTGGATAGAGAAATTGGCAGTTCGGAGTTGTACTTTAAAAAAAAAAGTGCCACAACTTGCTTTAACGTTCTTTGTATTTCTTGCTTTGATATATAAAGACACTGCTAGGCCTGGTAATTAAAAAGTTGATTTCATTGTGTATCTGAAAGGGTTTTGAGGGGTTAAAATTAACAGTCCAAACCATCCGTGAGCTTCAAAGGCTTGTTCCTTGACATGAGAGCCCTGGAGAGATGTATGAGAGTCTATTCTCATCGTCCCGTCCTCACAGAAATGTGTCTTTGTCACATTGGGCTGCTTGACTGAGATTGAAAACGGAATTGACTTTGGCACATTCGTTTTTACCGGGGCCTCTCTGCCTCCGTCAACCTTGGCCGTGAAGCGTCAGTCTGGAAGTGTCTGCCTGATGTCGGTGTGGGGGTATTACCTCCGATAAAGCATGCCGAGATCACAGTAACGCATTAATGTATGTGGGAGGGAGGAAAGTAGCGTGATCCTATAAAAGCTGCCCGAGTTGTCGACGTTAATTTAGTGTCTTTTTGAAAAAAGTGTCTTAAGATGATAACAGCCAAGCTCTCGCTCTACCGCACTGTTGGCACCTCATTTTAAAATAGGCCGCGCGACCGTTTGGCCGGATCGGACAGAACGGTGGTGTTAATTAGCGATCTTTCCACCGCGTAAATTAACGAGTGACTCCTAGTGCATGCCCAAGCCAAAGTCATAACGAGGGTGAAAGGGACTCCACAGAGGGAGGCTGCGGACTATTTTAATTATGCACGGATGCACAAATCGTCCGTTAGCCAACAGAACCTTCCGCACCGAGAATTCTGGCTTCAGATTCCCAGGTCGACACTCAGAATCGGCTGGACGCCAGAAAACATGGTGTTCTTATTTTAATCTCATTATGGGTTTGAGGATCCCACCTGCAATCTGGACCAAGTCTCTTGGCTCTTTCACCTTTCACCGGCATAACCCCGCGCCAAGGATTTTTTTTAATGACTGAGGAAAATGGAAAATGAACTTCGCTGTCCCACTGTGCCGACTTTTTGCCGCGGTGCTTTTGATTAAACCGGCCACTCGCTCGCCACCTTAACACCTGCGGTTCACCAATCAGCCGCTGCCCGCCTCTTCTCCGCTGGTGCGTGAATGTTATTGGCGACGAGCACGCGATTCTCATTCTTCCATGTTGACGAAAAACACCCAGTGCGGTATTAGTCAGCAGCCGCCCCTCTGTTCCACTTGCCAGTGTGCAGCTATCTGTCCACCAAACACAGGTCGGGCCATTTTTGTTAACACACATAATAGATAGGGTTAGCACTGGAGCCTCATGAGTTCAGGTTTATGGGTTCAAAATCTGCCCCACCACTTGGGTGTCCCTCTGGCTGCTGTGCTTTCCTACCCCTGTCATGCAGTTAGGCTAATTGGTTACTCTGTGATTGTCAGTCTGCCCTGCAGTGCATTGACTCCCTTTTCTCTCAAATCCTGTCCTAATAGGCTCCATGCTCCCCTTGACCTTGTGTTGGACAAATGGTATGGAAGATGGATGGATGGTGAGATAAGTGGCTTTTGGGAGCCCTGGCCTTCAATATGTCTGGTAGCATCTGCTCTGACTGAAGGTTGCTTAAATAAATTTTATTTGGTGCCCAGTAGCACAAAGGTAGAGCAGATGTGAGCAGTTCCTGTGTAGTATTTGTTACTTAGCAGCATTTCGGCATTTGAGAGTCGGTCTCCTTCCTAAGGTAACTTAAGCTTTAAAGGCCATAGACAAAAGTCACCGGGTTCAGTGTCCCGCTGTGCACTTTCAGCACTGAACGAGAGGAAACATGTCCTCTCACCCAGCATTCACTCGGCCGGTAATCGCATTACTGTCGACTCGAGCTGTTTCGGAAGCAACATCGGTATGAATTTCAGCGGCTATCGTCTCAACACGACAAAGGAGCAGTTTCAGGAGCAGAATTCCCGGTGAATAGGAATGGGGTATATTCCTGTCACGCGAAATCGGATAATTTCAGTGGAGCTTTCTGCCAAAGAGGATCATTCCAGGCTGGTGGCTCGTCAGACATGAATGCTGGTAGCCAAAAGACTCGCTACGCCGTTGATTCGGAAAGCGCTGACGTTCCCGGTTTCATCTTTAGCTGTGCATACCACTGGATATTTGCAAAATTTAAGGTAAGAAACTTGTTTGGGGAATCTTTTGATTTGTAGGTTGAGTTTCTTAACAAATGTTTTACCTTCTGCCTCTGGCTGTTGAGTGAGCATCCACACAAACGCACACACACGCAAACATATGCGCATGCACTCACACAAAGCCATGCACGTATATTCTCCAACTCGGCCTCGAGGACGTGGGCATCTGACCCACCCTCCCCTATCCTCTCGGGCTCATGAGTCCCCTGCTGTTTTTTTTTAATGACACTTCTTCACAGGACCACCAAGCAGGATGAGATGGCAGTCATCCATCAGCTGTGACAACCGCGTTTCAGGTGTGTCGCTGGGGGGGGGGGAAGTGCAGCCAGCCAGAATGAGAATGAGACGAGGCTCATCCATAACTCCAGGCAGTCAAACACGGAGACCGAGGAAAAAGTCCACAGCTGTCACTGTGCTTCACCTTTAGGGGGCGCCAGAGAGCAGGAAAGTTTAGGAAAAGAGGCGGCTGTTAAACTTGGCCGCAGGCACAATTACAGGGAAGAAACGCGGCTGATTATGCGTCAGAAACATCGTGATTTACCCTGCGGATGCAAAGGAGGTCCTAGCCTTGTAGCGCTTCCCGCTTTTCCTGCTTCCCTGCCTCCCTCAGAAACTTTGAAGCACCTTCTTTCTCCTGCTCACACATGCTGCTGTCATAGAAACAAAGGCACAAGCACAAGACCAACGTGAGCCTTTAAAACGGCAACCTTCAGGTTAAAAGCCGGCTCCAAAGCTGCCGCACCACCCGCTAACCTTCACGCTCCTCTTTTCATGTATAAATAGCCGTGCGCAGTGAACGGCCCTTAATTGTATTAAACTGCTCGTATAAATGCGATCAGCGTCCTGAAGTCCCAGCGGGGCGCAGTGCTGAGATCGCATTAAGAGTTCTGCAGAAGCGTTCGAAAACTGTCGCATTCGTTCCTGCACTTTGTTGCAAGATGCTGCATAGGCGTACACCATGTGCTAATTAAATTTATTAACTCTCACACACACACTCACTCATGAGCCTTCCACCCCTGTATACTCTGGTGGGGAACTGGCTACGGGAGACACAGCGGGATAGTGATTCCCAGTCCCAGCCCATGTGACATGGGAGACGCGGACTCCTGCCAGGTCCGACACAGAGAGGCGTCTCTCCCGAAGGATCCAGACGCTACCGTGCAGGTGGGATTAACCAGCAAGGTCTCACCGTGCACTTTTACTCAGTTGCTTGGGG